GGAAACTTTTATTTAACATACATCAAACCACAGGAATCACAGAGAACACCAAGCAGCATAAACACCAAGTGATCAATACCTTTGTATATCGTATTCAAACTTAAGAAAATCAAAGACAAAAAGAAAACCCTGAAAGAAGGCAGAAGGAAAAAATCTTACATGTAGAGAAACTAGTATAAGAAATATATTGATTTTCTCTTCAGAAACCATGCAAGCAAGCAGAGAGTGGAGTGAAATATTTAGTGTTGAAAGAAAAAAAAAACACCCCACCAACCTAGAATTCTTTTTTAAATAAATTTATTTATTTTTGGCTGCGTTGGGTTTTTGTTGCTGCCCGTGGGCTTTCTCTAGTTGCGGCAAGCGGGAGCTACTTTTCAAGTGGTGCGCGGGCTTCTCACTGCGGTGGCTTGTCTTTGTTGCGGAGCATGGGTTCTAGGCGTGCGGGCTTCAGTAGTTGTGGCACATGGGCTTAGTTGCTCCGTGGCACGTGGGATCTTCCCAGACTAGGGCTCGAACCCATGTCCCCTGCATTGGCAGGTGGATTCTTAACCACTGCGCCACCAGGGAAGTCCCACCAACCTAGAATTCTGTATCTATCAAATTTCTCTTTCAAAAGTGATGATGAAATACAGACTCTAACATAAATAGAAACTGAATTTGTCTCCAGTAGACCTGCCTTGCAAGAAACGTTAAAGAAAGTTCTTCAGAGAAAGAAAATGATGTAGGTCAGGAACTTGGGGCTACATAAAGAAAGGAAGAGTGTTAGAGAAGGTATAAATGAAGGTAAAATAAAAAATTTTTTTTTTGGCAGCGCCTTGCGGCTATGTGGGATCTTAGTTCCCCGACCAGGGATTGAATCCGTGCCCCCTGCAGTGGAAGTGTGGAGTCCTAACCACTGGACCGCCAGGGAAGTCCCAAAATAAAATATTTTTTAGTTTTTACTTTTCTTATTCTTAATTTATCTAAAAGATTCACTGTCTTCAAATTAATAATTGCAAAAATACATTTGGTGATAATAGTTTACGGATAAGTGAAATGTATGAGAGAAATTTTATAAGGGATGGAAGGGAGGAACTGGGAAAACTCTGTTATAAGATACCTACATAACCATGAAGAAGTACAGTGTTGGGACTTCCCTGGTGGTCCACTGGCTAAGGCTCCATGCTCCCAATGCAGGGGGCCTGGGTTCGACCCCTGGTCAGGGAACTGGATCCTGTATGACACAACTGGGGTTCCTGCATGCTGAAACTAAAGATCCAAAGATCCCGCACATGGCAACGAAGATCCCGCCTGCTGCAGCTAAGACCCAGCACAGCCAAATAAGTAAATAAATATTAAAAAAGAAAGAAAGAAAGAAATACAGTGTTATTTGAAAGAGAATTTAGGTTAGTTGTAAACTTAGATTGTTAATTGTAGGGAAACCATTTAAAAAATTTTAAAAGAAGTACTACTGATATGTTAAGAGAAAAAATGGAATCACATTTTGATTAAAATCAGAGGCAAAAAATAGTTTAAAAGAGTGGAAGACGAAACAGAGAGAACAGGGGCAAAGGATAGAAAATAGTTACAGATATGGTATATATTAATCCAACTATCTCAATAATCACTTTAAATATGGATGGCCTTAAAACATTAATTACAGGGGCTTCCCTGGTGGCGCTAGTGGTTGGGAGTCCACCTGCCGATGCAGGGGACTCGGGTTCGTGCCCCGGTCTGGGAGGATCCCACATGCCGCGGAGCGGCTGGGCCCGTGGACCATGGCTGCTGGGCCTGCATGTCCGGAACCTGTGCTCTGCAGTGGGAGAGGCCACAACAATGAGAGGCCAGCGTACTGAAAAAAAAAAAAAAAAAGGAAAAAAACATTAATTACAAGACAGAGATCATCAGAATGGATTAAGAGAACTGCCTGTGTAGTTTACAGACCCTTAAATTTTACTGAGCTCCATGGCTATCACCTTTTCAGTCCTGAGCCACAGACCCAAATGCGAATTACCAGAAGGCATTTATGATTCAAAATTCACTTCCTTTGGCAGGTCCCTACTCCCTCGGTTAGGAGTAAGCGCAAATGAGGCTGTGATCAGGAACCTCTCCTTAACTCTTGTACTGTAGAATCTGCTGCTAAAGCAATAGCTGCCCAGCAAAAATCCCTAGAATCTCTGGCTGAAGTTGTTTTTGATAATAGGATAACCCTTGGTTACCTTTTAACTGAGCAAGGAGGTGTTTGTGCTATGGCTAACACCACTTGTTGCACTTGGATTGACACTTCTGAAGAAGTTGAGACTCAGCTACATAAGATCAGCGAACAAGCCAGTTGTCTTAAGACAGTGACTCCTTCAATGGGGTCTTTCTCTGACTTATTTGATTCTGATTGATTTGGGTCTTGGGGATCATGGCCCCAAAGTACATGCCAGATATTGGGAATTATCCTGCTTTTGATAATCATAGTAGTCTTCCTGAGGCTTGGTATTCTCTCAAAACCTTCAAATGCATGTTTGCAATCACTAACCAGAGAGCAAAAGATCTCCCTAAAACTAGAACATCAGAAAAGGAACGAAGAGAATGACTGACTTAAAGAACATGAACCCAATGTAGCGACCTGTAAACACCACAGAGAGGTCCAGGAGGTCCAGGCGTTAAGACTCTGTGCTCCCAATGCAGGGGGCATGGGTTTGATCTCTGGTCAGGGAATTAAGAGGTTATTTCTCATTACATACATGTATTTATAAGCCACATGACATGGCCAAAAAAAAGAAAGTGTTTGGGGGGAATTGATAAAAACAAGACAACAGGCCCAAAATGGAGTCACTTATGCTAAGCCCCACCTCATCAAACTGAGACTTAATTACAGTTTCAGCTCTCCCAGAAATGCAATCTTAAACCAGTCAATCAGGAATCACATAATCAGCTCTAGTTAAGTAACCTGACTGATAACCCCAGCCCTTAAAGCAAAGTGACCAATCTACTTTTTGCTAGTAGAACTTCCTTGTTCCTGGACCCTTCTGCCTATACTCTCCTTGGAGCTCCTTTCCATCTGTTAGATTGGATGCTGCCTGATTCATGAATCATTGAATAAAACCAATAAGATCTTTAAAATTTACTCAGTCGAATTTTGTTTTTTAACACTACCCTGGAGTAAAATCCTTCTTTCCTAAATCTTTGCTTGTTGCTTCCAAGTTTCTGATAATCCCTGCCTTCCTGGAATTGAAGGAATGAAGATTAAACTTTTGGCTCCTGGGGAGGTGTGGGGTTCTGATATTTGTTAATAATGCCCAGTGAACTTCCAAGCCTAGTCCAAAAAAATGGAAAGAGAAAGAATTCCTAAATGACGTATGATGTTAATCAATCAACAGGAATTTGTAAACTGTAATTGTTAACAAATAGAGATTCATTTAATAATAATTTAATATACCATGTCAGTAACCTGTTACTGCTTTAAAAAAACACACCCTTTCCCCCTCAGTGATTACAAAAACAGAACACAATAGTCATCCTTAATCCCACCATATTATTTCCTTAGGTTAGTTCTCATTACATACACATATTTATAGTTCTTCATATTCATGTTCCACTAAAATCAGATAATAAGCATTTCTGATATCATAAAAACGTTGTATAGATACTCTGTAATGTACAGATACTCTGCCATTATTTAGCCATTCCCTGCTATTGGACATTTAAGTTGCTCCCTTTTTTTTTTCTATCATCAATAATACTTAAATGAAGTTTTGTATATATATATTTTTCACACTTCTGTGACCATCCTTAGAATAGATTCTTAGAAGAGGAATTAGAGGCAAAAGTAATAAATATTTTTAAGATTCTTGATTCATACTGCCAAATTACTTTCCTAAAGTTAGAAGACAGCTTTTTTGTTTTGAAGTTGTATTCTGAACTTCATATAAGTGGAATCATCCGTGTCCTCTTTTGTGCCTGATTTAACAGTATCTGTGATATTCATCCAGTTTGTTGCATTTATCAGTAACTACAGGCGTACCTTGTTTTATTGCGCTTCACAGATATTGCATTTTTTTCCCTACAAATTGAAGGTTCGTGGCAAGCCTGCATTGTCAGATGATGGTTAGCATATTTTAGCAATAAAGCATTTTGAAATTAAGGTATGTATTTCTTTTAGACTTAGTGCTATTTCACACTTAATAGACTAAGTACAGAGCAAACATAAACTTATATGCACTGAGAAATGAAAAAAAAAATCGTGACTCACTTTACTGCAATATTGGCTTTATTACGGTGGTATGGAACTGAACACGCAGTACCTCCGAGGTATGCCTGAATTTCCTGTCGCTACATAGTAGCCCACTGCATGACCACGCCACAATTTATTTACCAGTACAACTGCTGATGGACACTGGGGTTCCCAGTGTTTGGTTATTACAAAAAAAGCTGCTATGAACATTCCCGTGCAAGCCTCTGGTGGACGCATGCACTCAGTCCTCTTGGAGGGGAACTGCTGAGTCTCAAGGGAGGGCTTAGTTTCAGTGCTGGAAACAGTTTACCAAAGTGGTCGTACCCTAGGGCTCAGTTTTTATAACTTGGTCTCCACTCAGTGAGGAAAGGCGATAACTCAGAGGCACCGGGAACGCGCGAACTCTGTGTGCTTGACTCAGCTCGGCGCTTTCCTTCAAATTCTTAAGATATACCCCCAATTCCACGGAAGAATAAACAGACTTAGCAACTGCAGCACCGCCCCCGAACAAATTTCTCATTCACTTTTCGACAACAGGGTACTTCTGAGAGCATCAAGGTTAGCTCACAATGTGAAAAAAGTACAGCAGCACCACCCTCTCCCGGTCCCTCCTCCGGCTGCGGCTCCGTCCTCGTCTCAGCTGGAACAAAGGAGTCGCTCAGCTAAGCCGCGTGGGGTTCCGGTCAGGCCCCGCCTCTCACCTATGCACAGGCGCAGATTGAGCCCTAGGGGGCCCGGCGGCCCCGGCGCGCGTGACGTAGTAGCGTACGCCGGTGCGTGATGACGCAGGGCGTGCGCTCGGTGGCTCATAGGGGAAGATGGCGGCTGCTCTTTTGGAGGAGTGGGATTGAGAGGGGAGGGAGGAGGCCAGACAGGAGAGACACTCGTGACTGTGAAGACGAACATTTCGCTCGCTAGTCATTGGGAGCTCTGCTCAGCGCCACAGGGTGAGTGCGGCGGCGGCACGGGACCGCTCGCCTGCAGCAGGCGGCGGCACTCTCCGCCATTTTCATGCTCGGCCGTTGCGTGCTTTGGGGGCCTGGGGGGTGCCTGGGGATGGGTTGGAAGAGCTGGGAGGATCGATCTCCCGAGGGCTCTTTGAGGCGGGTTCGGGCCTTAGGGGACGGGGCTGGAGGCTTGAGGCAGACCGGGAAAGGCAGGCATGGTAGGACCAAGGCCCTGACTGGGGACCGGTGGCGACGAGAAGACGTAGGTAGGGTAGGCCACGGAGAAAACTGGGAAGTTTGGAGGAGGGAAGCGCGTTAAAACTGGAATTTGGGGCGGGAGTGGAAGGGGTTGGGCCGAGAGTGGAATGGAGTGTAGTTTTGAGTGGTTGGGTGAAGGGGTCACGGGAAGTTAGTTAATGGGAAACCTGTAAAACGGCGGAAGGTTTAGCCTCGTTATTATCGTGGCTGGAAGTTGGTATTTTAACAGGGATAAGTCCACAGCTTGACAGGCAGAAATCCCCTGCTCCTTTGGAATAGCTACATTAGTATTTTGTTTGGTTTAGATCGTGGTCCCTGCAAGTGTCCCTTAAGAACTCCCTGCACGTTTCCTATTTTAAGACTTCTGGCAACTAGATATTTAGGTTCTTAGAAGGCATTCTCTTTTTTTTACGGAAAGGAAGAAACTGGTTACTTGGTTGTAAACCCTAGTGGTTGGTGGTCCTTCCGGAGAAAGGAGAAGGAGGCGGGTCGATAGGGAATTCCATAATTGGACCTGTTTAAATCAAGTCAGAAAAGCACGGATTATTTGTAGAAAGCCTGTCAAGAATGTTTTGAAGTAATTTCCACGCAGATGACATGCAGTTGACTGTTCGGGAAATTTCGAAGACGAGTATGAACAAAAAGCCTGTGTTAAAAGGAATACCTCTTGGGAGCACTGAGTTGACTTTCAAGTACACTCTGGAGATTCAGTGCACGCAGCATTTTTTGCCTGTGAACGTGATGCAGTGGTAGAGCTGTTTAATTTAAACAAAACTTTTAGAGACTGTTAGTTAAAAGGAAACATGTTCATTCTTCCCCTGATGGCATTTTTCTGTTCCTAATCTTAATTGCTTTTGACACCTATCTTTTTGTTTTTTACTCCTATCTTTTATAACCATAAGATACCTTTGCACTTTTTAATTGGTCTCCTTGCCTAGAAGGCGGCAAAATATCGGTTTCAGTTTGTGTTGAGAAGTCTAGTTCCGTATTTGGCCTTTTTTCTTGAAGTTTAGGGAAAATTTTTCTTTGTGTATATGGGGGAAGAATTTTCATAGAAAGTTGGCCTTACATCACAGTACTTTAGGAAAAAATAAATCCTTATCCCTGAAGTTGATGGCTTAACCTGCATTCTTAGGTTGGTGAAAAATACTAAGACGACAGATTTTGCCATCACAGTTTTACCCCAACCTAAGGCTTTAATTATACTTTTAGTAACCACTTAAGGTGCTTATTCAAAGCTCTCTTTGCTAAGTAATAAGTCCGTATATTTTTCACACTACTTTGGGAAAAACGTGCTATTTGATTATTGCTGAAGTTCGAACTGTTTCATATTTCAGAGTAAGAAAGAAGAAGGTAAGGTAAAATAAAGCTTTGTAACTGTAACAAATATATTGACAAAGCTATCACTGAAAGCTTTTCACTTAAGAATCTATTTATGTAATCCTTTTGAGGTTGCTCAGCCAAAAAAAAAAAGAAAAAAGGACTTTTAGATAAATTAGTATTCATTAGCTAGAGCCTGCACATTAGAAATCTTCATTATCAAAGTATGTTTAATTAAATGTCATAAACTTACCAGTTGTTTAAGCATTCCAGATTTGTTGTTTAAGACTCCAGATTGTCATAGTTTTCTGCCAAACATTATTCCAGGATTTTGTGTTGAAACTGTTGCTTGTAATTCCAGGATTTTATTTGCGTTGAAACTTTTGCTTGTGCTGAAACTTTTTCTTTTGGAATAGTGGAAGTATTTCTGAGACTCTTAAGTATGTATAGTATTGGAAAATCTTTACATTACTCTCATCCTTTCTGGCCCTAGAACATTTTAGTATTTTCTGGTAGTGACTGACTTTATAACGTTTGTATTGCACCTTATGTTCATAACTTGAGTGGTTGTAAATTCCCAGAGCTGGGTAGTATTGTAAAGGCCGTGGGTTTTAGCACTAGACAGACCTAGGTTTGAATGCCAGGCTCACCACTAACTAGCTTTTCTACATTTGGTCATTTACACTCTCTGAACTTGAGTTTTCTTATATATAAAAATGTTAATTATAGTACTTATTTCAAAGGTAAAAGAAAGTGTCTAGTACATAGTAAGCATTCAGTAATTTTTGGCATTTTTCTTTCTGTGACTTTAATTGATGAGGTCACTTTTTTTTTAATTGAGGTATTACTTTCAGGTGTACAACATAATGATTCGCTATTAGTGTATATTGCAAAATGATCATCACAATAAGTCCATCACCATACATAGTTACAATTTTGTTTTCTTGCCATGAGAACTTTTAAGATCTACTCAGAAACTTTTAAATATGAAGTACAGTGTTATTAACTGTAGTCACGATGTCATGTGTTACATCCTTATAACTTATTTATTTTAGAATTGGAAGTTTGCACCTTTTGGCCCCCCTTCATCTATCTTGCCCATTCCTACCTTCCCCATTTTCACTGTTTAAAAACGAACTCAAATATCTTTGTTGAAAACTTACTGATAATCTCATTCCTCTGGTAAACTGATTACTCCTTTCCCTGTGTTATTAAAGAATTTTGTGTATATCTCTCTTAATGTATTTTGATTGAAGCAGTATCTTTTCCATTACTTTGTCAGCTCTTTGAAGGCAGATGTTTCAGAGCCTTATATTTTTTGTGTATTCATAAAGCCTAAGCATTATAAAAATGGATGAATGATTGATTTTTCTACAAAAATTCTCTTCATGACTCTGTTGGGATCCATATTTCACACAGACCTCGTTTATTATTCTGCTCCTTGGCCCTTACTGGTGACCTCTTTCACACTTTGCATATCTTGTCCATTTCTCAACATCCAACTAAATCTCTTCCCATTAATGAGGTCTTCAGTGAGTATTTATTTATTTACAGCTGTCTCTCCGGTTAATCTAAGGTCTGTGTGACTGCCTTCATACTACCGGGCACTATGCCTTAACGGTTTTGAACAGATTGTTGGATGGGTTGACAAATGCCCAACTGTGCTTGAAGGCTGACTTTGTTATAGGCACTTGCTCTATTTACTGTCCCACTTAGTAAGATACTTCTAAGGAGCAATTTCCCTTTATTTGTATGTGGGATAATCTGGTAACTTTTTTCCTATCTTTTTATGTTAGGAGAAACTGCAAACATCCAGAAAAGTTGAAAGAGTAACACAGTGAACACCTGTTGCCTTTCATTTAGATTTATCTGTTACTAACATTTAACCATTTTGCTTTAGTTCTCAGTATACCTCTCCCCACAGCAACCAGTTGAAATTAAACATAGATATCATGCTGTTTGTCCCCTGAATACCTCAGGATGGATCTCTTTAAAGTAATGCCATTTTTCTACACTTCATGTATTTTTATTGCAAACTAGCCTCCCGCTAAGACTGTATAAAAACAGTAACCATTATTATGCTTAAGACAGTTAGCATTAAGTCTCTGGCATGGACTTTTTAAAGAATGTTCCACATTTGGGATTTTCTGATTAAATGATTAAAATGGCATTTAACTTATTTCTCTATTTTAAAAATTTCCTGTAAATTGGACGTTAGATCTAGAGAGGTTTGATTAAATTTGGGTCAGATATTTTTGGCAAAAATACTTCATAGATGATGATATGTAATTTACATTGTGTTACATCAGGAAGGACAGAATGTCTGGTTCTCCTGTTTCTAGTGATCAATAAGGTGGTGAGGATTACCAGATGTTAGTTTGCCCCATTGTTTACTATGCTAAGTTTACTTGGTTAGTGTGGTGTCCATCAGGTTTCTTCGTTGAAAAGGTACATTTTCCCCGTCATTTGGTGGTTGATTGTTGGCCTAGTCATTTATTTAATTGGGGGTTATGAAAATTAAATGAGTGAACTTTCTACAAAAATTCTCCTCATGGCTCTGTTATTTCTTTACATTTATTAGCTGTTTTCTGTATAAAAAAAAAAAGAGCTTCCCCCTTTCATGTTTTAAACTTACAAAAAAATTTTTATTATTTATTTGGTTGCACTGGGTCTTGGTTGCGGCAGGAGGGCTTCTTAGTTGCCACTCACCAACTCCTTAATTGCAGCACGTAGGCTCCTTAGTAGCCGCACGCGAACTCTTAGTTGTGGCATGCATGTGGGATCTAGTTCCCTGACCAGGGATTGAACCTGGGCCCCCTGCATTGGGAGCGCGGAGTCTTATCCACTGCACCACCAGGGAAGTCGCTCTGCTTAAACTTTTAAATTTTGAAATAAATACGAACTTACAGAAGAGTTGGAATACTAGTACAAAGAACTCTCATACTTTTTCATCCCTGTTCACCAGTTGTTAACTTTTTGTCACATTTGCTTTATCCCTCCTTCCCTCCATCCCTTCTTTTTACCCATCCCATGTTTTTGGTTGTTTTTTGGCTGTGCTGAGCAGCTTGCGGGATCTTAGTTCCCCAACCAGGGATTGAACCCAGGCCATGGCAGTGAAAGCACCTAGTCCTAACCACTGGGCTCCCTGGGAATTCCCGCCAGCCCATGTATTTTTTCTGAACCATCTGGAGTCCTTCACAGACACCATGCATCTTTCCCCTAAGCACACCATTCTCTTAAATACCCACAATATTAACAAATTCTACGCATTTAACATTTATACAGTATTTGATATTCAAATTTCATATTCCAGTTTCTCTAGTTGTCTCAATAATGTCCCTTATAGAGTTTTTTCCCCCCTGTCATTTAGGATCCAACCTAAAATTGAACATTGTATTTGATTGTCATATTTCTTTAGTTTT